AGATGCTCCATCAATATTTGTAAGTTCTCATCATCCATACATTTATTGTAACCATTTAATTTTTAAGTTAGTATAAATAATCATCAAAATTTTTTTATAACAATAATTTAAGGATCCATATTTCAATTTTAAAATTTATTTGAAACACTTACTTTAAAATGACTGCTCCGTCTACATCAATATCATCAAGTAGAAACTTAATTTCTATTGATACCTTATTCAAGTTTATTGATCCTTATGATGGTAATCGAGATGATCGGAGCGCATGGCTCACCAATTGCGATAGAGCATTCCAGCAGGGCTATTGCGTAACTTTGTTGACAACTAATTTTGATAGCCACTGACAAAGTTGACATCAAATATCTGTCAAATTTCGAATTTCTTATTGGCTAACTTGAGTTTCCATCAAAGATGACGTCACGGGACCGTTGTACACCGTAAATTATTTTGACAACCGTTGCCGTATCGATAGTCTTAAATTGGTATTGTGTAAGCAAAGTGGCTATCAAATATACTACAAAGTGCTAATTATTTAAGTTTTCAACAAAGCCGTGAAAGGAACGGCTATGGAGCAGTGTTTTATCAATTTCCACTATTGAGCACTATTACCCGACTGCGTTGAATAGACAGAGCTGAGTTAGAAATCGTTTTAATTTAGGTTTTACTGAAATTCGCGAGATAATATTGTCTTTATTCAACAAGTTTCTTTGTTTGAATTGCGTTATGTAAAATAAACAATTCTTATTTCGGTTTTACTGTGCAAAATACTATTGCTCTCGAAAGAAGTTTCTTTGGTTTTGATTGCGTTAAATAAAGCTAATGTTGAAAACAGTTATAATTTTGTATTCACTGGACTTTTCAAGATAATATTGTTTGATTTACGGAGTTTCTTTGTTTGAAATCCGACAAGATACGAATCTATTGATTATGGCGAGGCCTTATTTAATGGAATTTGCTGAGGAAGAAAGAAAGAGAAATCTATTAAGAATAGAGAGGCGTCGATGTCGCGATATGAGTGACCCTTTGCAGTTGCCTGAAAATGAGTTTATTGCTCATTTCCGTCTTAACAAAGATGGATATCAGCGGCTTCTAATGGATATCACACCACATTTACCAGTATCCCGACGAAGAACAGCTGTGCGCAATGATATCAAGGTTGGAATATGCCTATTATTTTGAAAGATATGTTTAAAATGTTATCTTTGGATCTAGGTTCTCTATTTCTTTGCAGATCCTTGCAGCATTAAACTTTTATGCTAATGGATCATATCAGCGGAATGTTGGTGCCTCATTCTTGTGCAATATGTCTCAACCAACCTTCAGCAAGTGCTTACATGAAGTTACTGATGCACTGAATGTTCGGGAAATATTATTGAAATATATAAAATTTCCCTCTTCCCAGAATGAGAGAGAAATAATTATGAGAGAGTAGGTATATTGATTAAAATGATTATAATATTTTATTATTGAACATACAATTTAAAATTAACTTTTTTTAGCTATATGGAAAAATTTGGATTTCCGGGTATAATTGGATGTATTGATGGCACTCATGTAGCTATAATCCGACCCATAGAACATGAAGAAACATATTTTAATAGAAAAAATTACCATTCACTAAATGTTTTAATAGTAAGTAATATAATGTATCTAATTTGTTTAAGTATGCTAGTGATGATGATGTTGTGAAATAAAAAGTTTGATATATATTTCAGATATGTGATGCTAAATTGAACATATTGCATGTCGATGCTTCCTTTGGTGGTGCTTCTCATGATTCCTATGTATGGAATCAATGCCCAATTAAAACATATGTGGAAGAGCTAACAAACAATAGAGAACATTGTTGGTTACTTGGTATGTATTCTAATGAAAATATCTTGACTAAACAATTGATATTTACAAAAAAAGCTGAAGTAGGAAAAAGAATATCTATATATTATATTATTATTGTAACAAATATTGTTTTGCAGGAGATTCGGGTTATGCTCAACGTCCTTGGATGATGACACCTATCTTAGGTGCAGCTTCGGGGTCTCCTGAAGAATACTACACAAATCTACACTGCCGTGTCAGAAACACAGTGGAGCGTTGCATTGGTGTACTAAAAGCACGTTGGAGGTGTCTTTTAGCTCACAGGGTACTTCATTATGATCCAGTTACTGCTGGAAAAATAGTTAATGCATGTGTTGTTCTACACAATATTGCGATTGCACAAAGTGTTCCGATGCCTGATTTGCTAGATGAGAATATTAACCGTGACCAAGAGAACCAAATCAGTAGTGTGGCAGCTAGAGTTGACACACTAACCGATACCTCTAGAGATGTTCTCGTTACCAGATTATGGCAGGCAAGAACATGATTGATAGTAAATTTATAGTCCTGCATGCTGTTGATTATAACAATTTAAAGAAAGGCGGAGGCCAATTTGAGTTTACTCTTAAAAAAATTATCAGATTATGGCCTAGGTATTTGTAAAACTATTATTAATAGTTTAAAGGAATTTTAGACACAACTGCATGTTTTTTCTTCGAGAGAATGCCTATTTTGAATAATTGATATAAAATCAGGTTTATAATTAAACTCAGAAATTTTTGGTATTAGTAGTATATTGTGGTAAACCCATTTTTATAATAATTTATTAAAATAGAGATACATATCTTCATATCATGGCTCAAGAGCCTGTCTGAGTTTGTTTCGCCAGTTCTTCTCAGACAGGTTCCAACTTGGAACTGGTGGTAAATTATTCTAGTTAGGGCAAAAATAATATTTTTAAATCAACATAATTTGCTCATAGATTTAATAAAATCTTAAAAATAACTAACAATAACGAATTCTTAGCGAAATAAAATAAAATAGAAACAAAACAATAATAAAACCATGTACAAACCTATAAAGACTTTTATTTTTACCATCTAAGTTTGTGTACCTAAGTTATTAATGTTATTATCTTGTATCTGTATTTTTATTATTTTCTTCCACAGCCACTTCTTTAAGTAACAATTACAATTTGAGACAGTTTTCTCTTTGCCGGCATCTGAAATGTTAGGTACCAAATAAAGAAATGATCATTCAAGAAATATATTATAACATAATAAACAGTTACTAATATTAAACACTAAACTAGAGGTAATATTATTTCGTATCTATAGAAAATAATGAAAGCGACAAATTTTCTCCAATGGAATATTCGTAAATCGTAATCTATTTTAAATGCATGCGAACAATAATATTAACACGAAAAAACAGTAACAATACTAGAAAATATATAAAAGCTTTACTTACATTTATTCCTTGGCTATTAAATCTTTCAAAAACACTAACTTAACACCTTTTAACTTGACGAAAGTCCAAGTTGATATGAATTTAGCGCCAAATATTTTAAACATTTTTGTTTTCAAGAGTCAAACAGGTAAATAACCCGTCTAAATAATAATAACTCCAATTCATATTAATAGATGTGCTTTGGACACGCAACTAAATTTGGGCGCATAACGTCGATAAAAAATAGAGGAGTCAAGAGGTTTCAAGGCACCGTAAAGCACCGTTAGTTGATGTCCAACTACTATGATACGCAATACCAATGTTAGTGAGAAACTGGTTGCGATCAAATCGCAGTGTACAACGAATTGTCAGTTGCACACTTTGATGTCAAAGTTAGCCAATAGCCCTGCAGATGGCAACAGAATGTCAAGAAAATATTTTATTAGCATACATACAAAATAAACTTCCTGATAAAGCACAATCTGTATGTTCTCATACTATATTTGAGTTATGAGTTGATTTAAAAGAATTCCTTAAAAGCATATTTGGGAATAGGAAACATTACAACCACTTATTATTAGAACTACAGAACTGCAAACAATCTAATCAAGAGTCACTTGCACAAAACATTGTCAAATTAGAGAGTTGTGTAAAAAGAGTACTTTGTTCAATAAAACAAAATTGTAATGATGAACGTAATTTACAGGGACGGATTGAAAATACTGACCCACTCCCATATGTTGAGATCACGCGATCCAAAAGATTTGAACAACTCAAAGAGTTGTTGACATGGCATTACAAGAAGAAAAACTCCTTATGTTAAAAATTTTTTCCAATAACAATAAACATTGTATTAAATGTAATAAGCAAGGATACTGAGCCAGTAATTGTAGAAGCAATACATATTGTAATAAATGTCGAAAAACAGGACATACGATAAACAATTGCCGATTTAATAATAATAATTATTATTATAACATGAACCGTAACTTCAATCAAAACAATTACAATTCTGATCGTAATTTTAATAATAACAACAAACCCTTATTTCATATGACTGATATGTCTATATGTAGATGCTGTAATAAAAAGGCTCATCATCCGAATATGAGTGTCTATGATCCCAACCGAAACTACAGAGCTATACAACTCTTACAAAACAATAGAATTAATTACAATAATCGAGAACTAGTAGAAAAAAACGCAAGAGCAAATCCAAATCCTTACAGACGCGTGAGTCAAGATCAAAGAAACACAAATCAACAACAAGCGAATAGGTAACCGTACCAACCAAGAACCTATACGAGAGCCAGAAATAATACGTGTTCCAACATTAATTCTTTTAATCTTCAACCATGTCGAGGATGCTACCGGACCGTCGAGCTCTGTGCTCGATCAATTAAATGTCGTTCATGACACAATTATTAATTAAATTCAAAGTAGTTCAATCAATCTAATTAACGTAAATTTACACATCAATGAAGCTAACACGGAAAATACTTTAAATTTTCTTTTTGATACCGGAGTATATCGATTATAAAAGCGGAATGCTTAAATCAAAAATTAGTTATTCAACAGAATAGAAACCTAAATATTCACGGAATTACAAAATCAAAGTGTGGAGTGTTAGAGTGTGGAGTACCATGCACAAGGATAATAAGTATCCATTTCACGGTAGAAGCGTGCAAGGCTTAGTAGAAAATGATCCTGGGAGAAGGATGCGTTTCTGTCGATTTATGCTCAACAGTGATATTGACGACGGCTGGTTCCTAAAATCGATTCTGTGGACTGATGAGTTCAAATTTTCTAAAGAGGGCATCACGAATTTTCATAATTTACATGAATGGGTTGACAAGGACAACAATCCGCATTGGAAAAAGCAGGTATACAAATAAATGTTTATTAATTTAATTCTAGACATTCAACACATCTTTAACAGAACACTTTAATTAGAATGCATTTTGTTTTAGATGTCTTTCCAAGAAAAAATTTCAATTAATGTTTCAATCAATCCGGTAAATTGGGCCACACATTTTACCGGATAATTTAAACGGTGAGAATTATCTGTTAATTATGTTTTCTGTTAAGTTGAAATTCTCTGAAACTATTTTTTTTTACTAAAAACGGTGCTTTAAAATTATTTGATACCATTAAACACACATTAGGCTAATAAAGTACATTAAAAAGAATAAACATTTCCACTTAAACTTTGCGTTATTAGGACTTGATTGAAATTTTTTGGGATTTTGGTACTAAAATCGTAAAACTTCCCTAAAAAAAATATCAGTCTTTGGTTAGGATAAATATAGCTCAAAATGTTCTAGATGGTCTATACTAACACCCCTCTAAGGCTTTGCACCCAGCTTCCAAACACCTTGTATAATTTATCATTAAAATACGAATCTATTGATTCTTATGTCGGAGATGATAATACCCCCAATAATAACAATGAACGCATAATAAATACCGTAGAATCGTATGACTTTGGCCCTGAAGGGCGACTTTAGCCAAAAATTGGTAAAATTTCTAACTTCCCGCCACACCATTCTCAGAGTCCAGGGCGTAAAATTACACGTGATAATCAATAGATGGCACTGTAACATAGTGGGTAAAACAATGTTTAGCACTGTCGAACTTTGTTCTGATTGGTTACTGCAGCTTGATTTGATAAGTTTGGTTTTCGTTAAAATATTGCAGTGCAAACTTTCTCAAGAAAAGGTTATTTTATGGTGAGTTTCTGTTTTAATTTTTGTTTTAAAGTGTGTTAAATATCTTAGTAATCAAGTGCGTTGTGGAATTTCTAAAATGAGATATCTTGTTTTTATGATATTGCGAAAAAGAAACATTAAGCAACTATTAAGAAAGTTTTGTTTGATTTTGGCCCATGGGCCAAAGTCATACTTGGCAATATGACCTATTTTTTTTCATCTTATCTTTTTGTTTATTTCTCAGAAAGATCACCAAGAATGCCTTCGAGATACAAGAGGCGACCTGGAAGCCGCCGCTATCGTGATTATTCTGTCGAAAAATTAGCAGAATGTTTAAATATGATAAAAACAAAGCAGCTAACTCAGCGTGAAGCCGAAAAGAAAAATGACATTCCACGGAGTACGATAAAAAAATAAACTAAAACATAACCATCCTGGTAAATCTGGTGGTCCAACACCATTTACTGACCAAGAAGATCAGGCATTCGTTGCCCACATCATGGCCTTGTCTGAATATAGTTTCCCGCTCTCGGATATTGATTTGAAATTTATTATTAAGGATTATCTGGCAGCACAAGGACGTGACGTTAAAAAGTTTAGAAATAATGTCCCTGGGCAAAAGTGGTTGAGATGTTTTTTGCATAGACACAAGGAACTTTCAAAGCGACTGGCCAACAATATTAAAAAAGTGCGAGCGCAGGTGTCTGAAGATATTATTACCAATTTTATCCAAAATATAGCTATAGAGTTACAAGGTGTTGCTCCTGAGAATGTTTATAATTACGATGAAACCAACCTCACTGATGATCCCGGAAAGAGGAAGGTAATTTGCCGACATGGATCCAAATATCCAGAAAGCATCGTTAATTTATCAAAACAGAGCTATTCTGTAATGTTTTGCGGAAATGCCACTGGAGAAACTATTCCACCTTACATCATTTATAAAGCCGATCACTTGTGGACAACATGGACAGAAAACGGGCCCCATGGGGCCAGATACAATAGGATAAAAAGCGGGTGGATGGACTCTGTCACTTTTGAAGATTGGTTTATTCAACACTTATTGCCAATATTGAAAAAAAAAGCAGGCAAAAAGATTGTTATTGGCGACAACCTTGCCTCGCATATTAATCCAAAAGTCCTAAAGGAATGTCAGAAACATGAAATAGGTTTCATATGCTTGCCTGCAAACTCGACTCGTATTCTACAGCCATTAGACATGGCTTTTTACAGGCCATTAAAGACGAAGTGGTGACAAGTATTGCTTGATTGGAAGCACAGCCAGACAGGAAGACGACTTCCAACAACCCCAAAAGACCAATTTCCTGCTCTTCTAAAGAATGCATTGGATAATTTGACTGCTACTCGCGAAAATGTAATGGTTGGCTTTAGAAAAACGGGAATCCTGCCGACAAACAAAGATGAACCTTTGAACAGGCTACCTAAACAAGACCGTATTGTAAATTTTGATTTAATTACATCCCTGTATGCAAAAGTTAGAGCAGGCACGAAATTATGATACCTCTGTAAAAAAATATTTGAAAAAAAAAAGAAACTCAATGTGCCTGCCGGCTTATCAATTTCTGCAGCAGATATTGTGGAAGCAAGTACTTCTGGTTTGCAATGTTAAAAAGTCACTAATTAACTGAAGAAAACTACAACCAAACGCAAAGTAGCCAAAGCACGTCGACGACGTCGTAGTCCCAGTTCAACTTCAACAAGTTGCAGTTTTCAAATGAGTAATGTCTCATCTACCCAGGATTTGCCCGATGACTACATCCAACTTGAAGATGAACCACTAGAGAAAACGATGACATCCAGCTGTCGACAGGATCCACAAGAGATACTAGCTGATCATCGTAATGAAGTAAATGTCCAACGAACGAATGATACTGTTAACATTAACCAAGAATTAGATGAAGACTTTACGTTGGCTTCAATCTCCCAAAAGACAAAAATAACACTGATCAAAGACAACATTAACATAGATGATCACGTGCTTGTCAGATGGGGAAACCGTATATATCCTGGCAAGGTGCTCTCGACTTGTGAAGAGGGACTCATGGTGGATATAATGAAAAGGGGGGTCAAATTTTAGAGTTTGGCCATGTTTTAAAGACGAACAATTATACCGCTGGGTAGATGTGATCCAAAAAATCAACGCACCGAAGTTCCAAAAAAAGGCTGCTTTTCAATCCCAGAATTAGATGAAAAATTAAATGGTGAAATAAAAAATACTACTTACAAAATTATTAAAAAATGTCATAGTATTCAAATGGGAACACGAACAACAAGATGCATTCGATGAAATACTAATATCACCCACAATATTACAATACCCGGATTTCACTAAAGAATTTATTGTTACAACGGATGCTATTAATTATGCCATACTTAGTCAAGGAGAAATAGGAAAATACTTACCTATTGCTTATGCCTCTAGAACATTGAATCATACTGAAGGAAATTAAAACACAACTGAAAAAGAACTTCTAGCAACAAAATTGGCAATACAGCATTCTAGACCTTACCTTTATGGTCGACATTTCTAAATAGTCTCGGATCATAAACCTTTAACATGGTTATTCAGTGTAAACGATCCAGGTATTAAATTAATCAGATGGCGTTTACGATTGGAAGAATTCGATTACGAAATTACACATAAACCAGGAAGAGTCAATTCAAATGCAGATTGCTTATCTCAAATTAATATAAATACGAAATAGAAGATTTTATAAAAACAAATGACCTCTTATTCAATAATAGACACAATAATATAGCTTACCTTACAAATATATCTTTAGATGAAGAAAACCCTTTTTCAATAGAAGAATTTAGTAGAAGTAATAATATAGACGAACTTATGGCACAAGAAAAAGAACTTTATCAAATACTTCGATCAAAAACGACTAATGATGCACAAAATATATACCATTGTATAATCAAATAAAATCATTATGATTAAATTACATTAAAAGTTATATTTTATTATACCTTAAGAAACTCAAATTTTATTCATTACAGATGTTCGATCAACATTAAATACACACTTCAGCATACTAAATTCCTTGTCAGATATGATAATTGAAGAAATTGATCTCATAGTTAATTCTATATTATTCGCCAAACAGAAGGTACTGCACCCTCACATAATATCCCCAAAAGAAATTTATCACGAATTAACCAGCAACAATAAAATCCTCAAACACAAATAATTCCCAGTTCCACTCACTTTAGAAGATATGCATATACTCATAGATATTTCAACACTTAATGTATTCTATATGAATTTCAAATTAGTTTTTGTTTTAAACATCCCATTAGTTACTTATCAAGAGTACGAACTATATCACATACTTCCGCTTCCAATACCTCATACTTTTCAACATTTAACTTATGCTCTTGTCCAACCAACTAAAAGATACCTCGGTATAACTACTAACCGTCATTCATATGTACAATTTAATAACCTCGATCAATGTAAGAAACTCTCAAGAGAACATTTTATATGTCAAGATTTAAATGAATGTTCTGCAATGTCTAATCCCTCATGTGAATCGTTATTAATTACTAAAGTTTTAAAAGAATTACCTAAATAATGTATTACTAAGTTTATATATGGTAATGTCGAAATATGGCAAAAATTAACCAATAACAGATGGATATTTATTTATTCAAAACCAACCAAAATTTTTATTGATTGCTCAGGTAAAGAACTAAAAGATTATGAATTATCTTCAACAGGTATAATAAAGTTAGATAGAGATTGTAAAGGTTACGCAAATTTAATTCAAATCACTGTGATATCAGTGATATCATAATTAATTATATTTCTCCAAATATTGACATCGATTTAACTAAAGATGATTGTGCAACGATGCAGTTCTGAATAAAACTTAACATTTATTTACTCCATTTCATATCAACAATATAAAATTATATGATCTTAATTCAGCTTTTGTGAAGCTGCATTAAATTGAAGAACAAACAAGAACTACTAGAGAAAAAGCTCGATGTGATCTCCATAATAATGTACACATACCCTACCTTTTATATACTATTTGTGGATTTTTAACGCTCATCTTTTTATTCAAATTATGTAAAAGGTTTAGAAGCCCCAGAATTCAACCATCGGAAGATGATTACCATGATTATAATCAATGTACTAGTAGATGTTGTATTAGAATATTTAATCATTGTTATAATAAGAACCATGACGAAAGTATATCAACTACACCTAGACTTGAAATGCAAGATGTTAGATATATTACCACTCGAGATGAAGTAATAATTGATGAACCTACTACGAGAACTCCACTAAGACCAAAAAGAATACAAAGTTCTTCAGATGTAAGGTATTCATATAATCTTACTAATTGAACAGTCTTCAGTACCTATTTAAATAATATATAAAAGAAAAATAATAATTAAAAGAATGTAATAATATTTTAATAAATAATGTAATGTTACAAATAAAAAAAAAGAAAAATTATATACATCGTTAAAAGATTATGAAAAAATTAATACAATTGAATGTTAATAAAATAATAATAATTATATGTAAATCACCATTCATTTTAAGATAAGAAAATGATAATCAATAAATTTAAAGAAATTGTAATCCTCATGTACGAGTATTATAAGTAAATCAAATTGGTATAAACAATGATGTTAAATAACATTAAGTCTTGTAATCAATTTTAGATATTCATCTGAGATATTGTCAGTATCACTAAACAATTGCTTATAATAAGTAAGATTCTTAAATAAGATAAGTAAGATTCGGGTAGCAACATTTAAAAAATCGTCACCCAATGTCATGACTGTTAAATACAGCATGGATGAAAATGCAGAGACCGATTCTATAGCCATAATTTCAAGACCAAAGGTAGTACAGAGGAAGTACAAAGTATTTTTGCCGATAACTACGGTGAAATACAAAGATCTTAAAAAGCTGTGCGATACAGGGGTTATTCCCAAAATTTTTTCACCCAGAATACACACTAACTTCCCACACCGCGTTGGTAAAGATGTTTTGATAGATGCAGATATTGAGGATGAGATAGAATGAAGAATCATTTTATTTTTTATTTCTTCATAATTAAAGATTGCGAACTTTCTGTTGTGTTTTAGTAAAGAACTATCCTTTATTTGTTTTTTGACAGGATTGTTATTTAATTCAGCTTCTGATTATCATTAGTTACTTTTATGGTTACTTATTAATGTTTGAGTGCTACCCTCATTAGTTATTATCATTAGTTACTTTTATGGTTACTTATTAATGTTTAAGACTGATTTCGAATAAATTACAATTCATAAAAAACAGTTTTTTTAGTTATTTACAAACTGATACCACTCACACAAATATCTTAATGTCATTAGACGTTGCTGAATAATGATGGCCTAAGCATCAAAATCTACTAAAAATCTAGTAAGGGTTCACTTTGTTTTATCTTGTAGTTCTTCTAATGGACATCTGCATCAAACTACTTCATTCTGGTGCAACACCATGATGTTGCTTATGCTCATTGAGTATATTCAACTGTTAGTTGACGTGGCACTTATTTCATTTTATCTTGTAATATTTTTTTTTTTATGTTGATGCTTGGGCCAGTTTTCTTTCAGCTATTTTAGTAATTATAAGAATTTATAGCATTTTGCCCTTCTTAAAAAATAAGTTAATTTGATGCATTTTGGGTTAAACGCCGCTCCCGTGAGAATTAAGGGATGAAAAGTAGCCTATGTTATTCCCTAATAATGTAGCATTCTAATGGTGAAAGAATTGGTCCAGTAGTTTTTAAATTATTTGATACAAACAAACAAAATATCTATCCTCTTTTTATTATTAGTATAGGTTAGATTGAACTATGATTAAATATAATAATTTAAAGATTTTAGTTTGAAGATTGATCTTTTTTTATCTCTTTTGACTACATTAATTTTTAATTAAATATTAAATTAAGTGTATTATTTCAGGCTCCCCTTTTAACTAGAGTTTGTCTTGCATGTTGGACCGCTGCTAGGAGAAATGTCCAAAGGCAAAATCAGCAAGATGCAATGAGGACACTCGACGACTATGGTCAAGATGAGAATCTGCAACAACCATCTGCAATACCTATACCACCACCACTACCTCAACATCTGCTTTCACAAAAAGGTCGTCCAGAAATTACTTGATTAGTGTCACAAACACACAGATGTGCTATAGCTTCTTAAAGATATTGCATATTTTGAAGTTGTACAAATGCTGAACGTCTACATACTTATACCCAGAAGCATCAAAGAATTATTGTTGAGCCGTCACAGAATATATGTTCCCCTTTCTGCTCGCGTATGCAGATACCATTTGGAAAATAATTGCTGGGATCAATTGCAGTGTGATAACAGTTATTTTACTGCTGTACAAATGGCTCAAATGTTAAAAATGTTGGAACATATAAGTTTGAAAAAATTGGATTTTAATAACATTGATTTAACCTTTATCGTCACGGGCGGGGTCTAAGCAGACCCCACGCGCTATTTTTTAACGGTAATTTTTGAAATTGACAAGTTACGATCGCGCGCTTTCGGCTAATCTCAGTGCGACGCGAGAGCTCTCTGCGAGTGGACGTTCGTCGCTCTTCTGTTAAGGTAAGTTACATTTTTGCTTATATGGGGATACCTGCAGACCCCACCCGTGATTGAACGCAGTAACTTTTTTCACTTTGGTTGTTTTTATTTCTTTCTTTTACAGAATTGGTGTTGTATAAATGGAAAAATGATTTGCCGACTAACCGAAAATCAAATTGCACAAATATTATAGTATGACCGTTTAAATGAGTCCTCGCCCACGCGGTACAGGGGCGCGGGGTATGACGACAAAGGGGACCGAGAGAGGTGCGGGCGGCGGGCGCATTTTTGTTTTACTTCATTTCGATCGTTACGCGAGTAGAGAACACATGTACTGATTTTTGCGGAGGCTTTGTGAGAGATATACATGAGATTACATTCTCAAGATGAATCGCAATATTTTCGGACATAAGGTTAATAGTCAGTGCAAGCAAATGGCTTTTAAGGTTTACGAATACTGTACGGTTCACAACCGTACAATAGTATGTT